TTGGTTTGGCAGTTTTATACATGATTTAAAGGGCACGTTAAGAGGGACTGGTGAGATGCTGGACAACTGGGCTTGTTTCAAATTGGTGCATGAGGTTTCTAATGTCTTGGTTTCCACCTGAGTATTAGATTTGGGTTAAGCTTGCAGAGGGCCCCACCTGAGCATGGTGTTGGGCCCTGTGCAGTCCTCCTGAGGGATGCTATATCCAACCTCATGACCCAGGGTCAGGTCCATCTCATCAGCAACCCGAAAAGCCAGGCTCAGGGCTGCCAGTGGGTAAGGTTGAGTAACAGTAACTTGACCCTTCTGGAATCCTCTGGCCAGAGCAAACTCTGCACACCACTGGGGAATCTAGGATAGGGAAGGACAACCAGTCAGAAAGACACAGGACCTTGGTCAGGGGAATTATAGTAAGTTTAATTCTACTTGTGGAGTTCCCCAGTCCTTTGCCAGCACAGTGGCACCAGCTTAACCCATCTCCCTTTGTCTGCCTCCCCCACATAGACCACCCCTAGTCCAGGGAAAAACCCAATTCCTTAGTCCCTCCCTTTGTGTACTCCCAGGATTTCCCTCCACCTGAGTGCTCTTGCCAGAGCCAGGTTCTCCAGATACCAGCACCACTCCATTGGGGCTACTCTCCAAATGCTCCAAGAAGATGAAGCGAGCAGCCCAAATGGGCAAGGCTCTGCGCTGCTCAAGGATCTCATAGTAGCGGGAAGAGAAGGGGAGCCCATCAAAGGGGTTCACAGCCAGTTCAGACTCTCCAGGACTTGGAGTAAATTCTTCTGTAAGCCTCAGAGGCAGAGAGCTCATGATGGCTTAAGACCTATAGAAGGCAGGGCAGTAAAAGTAAGGCTTCACATCTCTCAACTGATTCTATCTCATCTGGCTCTATCCTAAACCGCTACCCTTAAGTGCTAATACCCTGGGGCTATCCGTTTCTTGCTTGTCAGGAAATAGTGCTGGGTATTTCAAAGGAACCTTTAGAAGTGGACTTTTGCCCTGTTTGTAGTTGGGTGGTAAAAGCCTTATGTCTACTATAGGGATTCAGAAGAAGGAGGAATCATGAAGCAGAAGTCTAAGGGAAGATCTAGAGGAAAATAAAAAATAACAGAAAGAGGTGGATAAAAGGGCCAAAAGGATTCTGGATTCAAACCTGGTTGGAGCTCTGAGCAGTCTGGATGACAGTCAGTTCTGAACCCTCCCTGCCAGTCACCACACCAAACCTGAGTTGCCAGAAGTACAAAGGTAAATTCCGGCTCCACCTCCAGTCTTGAAGCTTGCTTGAGGGTGGGGCTATTTGTTATACTTTATTTAACTTATCCAGGAAACCTATAGATAACAAGCTTCTGTCACACAGAGTATTTCTTAAGCGTGTGTTTGTGAAAGGCATTATGGGACCTGTAGTTTTGTAATGGCAGCTTCACAAACACAAGCTCATCACCAGAGCTGGGATCCACTTGCTACCTTCAGTTGTTACACTATCTTAGTATTGCCTGGCTTCAGTGGCTCATGCCCGTAATCCTAGCAACTCAGGATGCTGAGATCAGCGGACCAGTTTGAAACCAGCCTAGGCAGGGAAGTCCCTGGAACACTTATCTCTAACCACTAAAAGAGCCATAATCGTGGAGGTGTGGCTCAAGTGGTAGCACATTAGCCGTGAGCACAAAAACTCAGGGACAGCACCCATGCTGAGATCAAGCCCCAGGACTGGCACAAATAAACAAAAACACTTTCTTAGCATCATTCATCTCTTGGCATGAAGTCTGTCCAGACAGTTCCATTCTGACCATCTCTCCAAAGCCTAAAAGGAAACCCTCACTCTCATAACCCCCCAACCATGGAAAAAGGAATTTATTCAGGGGCTTTTGAGACCCAGAGAAGCAACAGAGACCTTGAGTGAAAACCCTGAATTTAATGTGAGATTGGGGGAGCCCCATCCCTCCCTTTTACCACCCACTCATCCGGCCTGTTGTGAGTTGGGTGAGGGCTGCCCCCAGTCTCCGGTCCTGCGGCTCTGGGTGCCATGTGTTCCTTTGAGCTCAGTCAGCCTCCTGGGCTTGTCTCTCTCTGAATCTCCTGTGGGACATGGGGAGATACATCGTGTGGGCTTTGTTGAATTAGCTCCATAAAGTCCTTTTCCAACTTGTTGCTTCCTATTGTCTTCTAAGCCCCTCACCTTCGTGCATATTCATACAGTGCCTGCTTGCGCTCCTGCAGGCTCTCTTGACGGGCCCAGGAAGACTTGGCAAATGTTAGGGCTGTGGGCTGAGGGGTCACCAGGCCAGAGCTGGGGAACTGAGGTGATCACAATGTCAGAGGGCTTGCGAAGTCATCATCATTAAACACGCATCGAATGCCTACTTTGCAAGAGAGGCACTGTGCTAGGGTCTCCGGATCAAAAAGAGAAGTCAGGGAAAGGGAGTATGTAGACTACCCCAACCTACCCTAAGTCTTGGACTTGATTACTTCCTGGGTCTCACCTTTGGGGCAGAGGCTGTGGGTAGGGACTGAGTTTCCTCAGTGATATCTTCAGGCATGAAAGCTACAGCCCCCTCAAGCAGATTAGTGATGGTCAAATCTACACAGCCAGTCCTTGCTAGGAAGACAGGAAAAGAGGAGTGTCCATTCCCTGCTCATCTGCTTCCTTCACCACCTACTTCTGTTCCCTGCTTGTCACTCTGAGGCCACCCTTTCCCATACCCAGGTCTCTCTGGATAACACTCAACGGAACATGGGGCAAAACCTCCTTGACTCTCTGAGCCAGAGTTGCCAGCTGCACATCAGGAGAAGGGCCAGGTGAAGGGGAGAAAGAAGACTGGACTGAAAAAAAAAAAGTCAGATTAGATACAGGGTAAGTAGAAAACTAGGAGACTTATTAGCACAGAATGGAGAAAAATTAAGACCTAAAAAACTGTGTACAGAGACTACACACCTGACTGGGGGCGTAATCTGGGGTGTCTTTGTCGTTTCATGTGTTCTGCTTTGTCTGCAGGAGTAAGCCGTGTCCCTATCTGGCCCAATTCCTTGGCCACCAGCTATAGAGAATTGGAAGGTCATGAGTCAAGAACACAAACTTTTTACCTTCCCTTTTCTCCCAAAGGAGGGGTCCCACTTCTACCCTGCCTGTGTAGATAACCACCTGTTGTACACGGAATGCAAACTCCTCATTTCCCTCCCCCAGCTGGCGACGGACAGGATGAAGCCACCTGCAAAAAACAATCCAACACCATGTTGAGCCACCTAGGACAGAGGGTGTCATTTCCTTCCTACTTTGGAGCCAATATCTAAGGGTAGAAGGTTAGTAGACAGTATTGCCTGTGGTGGAACCTTAACCTTCTTTCTACAAATGGACAGATCTTGATCTTCAAGTGAGTACTTTCCAAACCACAAAGAAGTGAGGACAATTAGTACCTTACTTGATACACCGTGAAAGGGACGAAAAGTGACCACAGCAGTTCTGAGACCCAGGAGGCATCTGACACAGTCTGAGGAGAGAGCATGAAGTGAAGCCTATGCCAGAGCCACAGGCTGAAAACTTCCTTTCCAAATCCCATATTCTTTTGTCTAACGTGCACTCACCACAGAGACCAGGGGTCTCTGAACTTGCAGGGTAAGAGGCTGTACAACATCCTGGATGGAAAATGGCCAAGAACTAGAAGAGAAAAGAGAATAGGATAGGTATCCAGCTAGCTTAGCAGCTCACACTGTCAAACTGCATAAGAAGGGAAATGGGGAATTAGGAAATCTGAGAGAAGTAGGCAGACAGGTAATGAACTGGGGAGGGAGCAGGATAGGGGCTAAAGAAGGTTGTGGAAACACAGGATTCACAAGCTTGACCACCAACTCAGTGGGAGCCAGATACCTGTGCTTACCCACCTGAAACGTAGGAGCCCCTCTCGTCCATTGGTAGCCTCTTCTTCTGGGAAAAGCAGCAGAGGTGTAGGGGGATGCCTCGCGGAAGCACAGAATCTCTTGAGTGATTCCACCAACTCCCCTTGCCTATCCATCTCCATGAAGCCCCGAGACCAGCACACAAAACTGGGAGGACTATTGAGTAGAGGCTAAGAATGGAGGAAAGGTAAGAAGAAAAGAATAGGATGACATGATGGGGAAGGAAAGAAAAGTGACATGGGGTAAATGAGTGGAGTCAGGGGTAAGGCTCAACATCCCCCCGCCCCCCAAGAGAAACTAGAGCCAGTGGAGGTGAGGCCAGGGATCCACCCGGGGGCGCTCTCGGCATCGACCCCCACTCACGGTGCTACAGGTGGTGAGCAGGTTGATTATGTTGTGGTCAAAGGGTGTCACATGGTTGGAAATGAGGACCCTGACGCGGTGATCGCGGAGTCCCGTGTCTTCCTGCCGGGCTACGAGCCCCAGCACCGCACACATGGTCCGTACCACGAACCTGAGAACACAGGCGGCGGTGACCGTGCGGTCTGCATCGGACCCGGCCCCACACACCCTCGGGGCGCCAGAGGCGGCACCTGCGAAGGACGCTGTCTGGCAGCGCACAGCTGACCAGGAAGACGTGGATCCCGAGAAAGAGGCGTAAGATCAGGAGGCAGAACCCGACGGGCGCGTAGAGCAGCAGCGCGAGGAGCAGGAAGCCGTCCGCCGGGAGCCTGCGGGCGAGAGGCGAGGTGACGACGCGTCGGAGGACACGGAGCCGGCCTGCTCGTGTCCTACGGAACTCTTACCGGTGCGAGTCGAAGAGCCGCTCCGGCCCCGGAGCCGGGGGAGGCTCCATCACAGCTGCTTCAAGGAAGGCCGGCCGCCGCCGCCATCTTCACTCCGGGCCGCAGGGGCTCCTGGGAAGGCGGAGTCTTTGGGCAGCCCAAGTGCGGCAGGCGCCCCGGAAGGGCTAGCGGTCCCAGCATGCCTCGCGAGTCCTCGGGCCGCCTCAAACCCGCGTCCCGTAGGGACCACATTTCCCGGCATCCACGCGGCGGGGCGGAGTCAGCCTGCGGGAACCCTGGGTCCCAGCGTGCACTGCTGGAGGACTTCAAGTACCGCCGTGCCTTGCGTCCAGCCGTCCTCCGGCTCCAGGCCTGAGCACCGCCTCCGAGCAGGGCGGGCGAGAAGGCAGCCGAGGCGGAGCTCATGGCTGCACTGAGGGCGTGGCGGGGTACCGGCTGGAGCCTCCGGGGGTGGCGGGGTGCCGGCTGGTGCCTCCCGGCCTGGCGGGATTTGGGGGGCTTTCTCTGGGGAAAGAGACCCTGGTTGACCCCTGACCTTAGGGCTCTGCTGACGTCAGGAACTCCTGCTCCGCGGGCCCGGTTGACTTGTGGGACTCCCAGTCTCCTGGCTCGGTTATCTGTGGGGGTCCCCGAACCACGGGCATGCCTGAGGTCTGGGATCCCGAATTCCTGGGCACGATGGACTACAGGGGTCCCAGATCCCCAGACCCAGGAGGTCTCGGAGACCCCTGGAGCTCGTCCGCGTGTGTGGCTGGCGGTGGCGCTGGGTGCTGGGGGGGCAGTGCTGCTGTTGCTGTGGGGCGGGGGGCGGGGTCCTCCATCTGTCCTGGCCGCGGTCCCTGCCCCGCCGCCCACCTCTCCTCGGAGCCAGTACAACTTCATCGCCGATGTGGTAGAGAAGACTGCACCTGCCGTGGTCTATATTGAGATCCTGGATCGGTAATGGTGGGGTGGACCAGGAGGTCTAGAAGCCACGGGCTGGAAGGCAGGTGAGTCGGAGGGAGTGGGCTTCCTCATATCATGCTTCTCCCCATTGCAGGCACCCTTTCTCGGGCCGCGAAGTCCCTATCTCAAACGGCTCGGGATTCGTGGTAGCTTCGGATGGGCTGATCGTTACCAACGCCCATGTGGTTGCTGATCGGCGCCGGGTGCGAGTGAGGCTACGTAGTGGAGACACATATGAGGCTATGGTCACAGCTGTGGATCCCGTGGCAGACATTGCCACGTTGAGGATTCAGACCAAGGTAGGGGTCAGGGTACATCAGATCTAGTGGGAGCTGTTTACTTGCTTCCATATCTAGGATGACACGTTTCTCTCCTACCCTCTCCCCCTTAGGAACCTCTCCCCACACTGCCACTGGGATGCTCAGCCGATGTCCGGCAAGGAGAGTTTGTTGTTGCTATGGGAAGCCCCTTTGCACTGCAGAACACGATCACATCTGGCATTGTCAGCTCCGCTCAGCGTCCAGCCAGAGACCTGGGACTCCCCCAAACCAACGTGGAATACATTCAGACTGATGCAGCTATTGATGTAAGTCTTGATATGATAGAAATGACAAGGTAGCGTGGGATAGGAGAGAGAGTCTGTGTGTTATGAGCACAAACTGATATATAGTGAATGAACTTAGGTTCAGAGGTTGAGTACAAAAATGTGGCCACTCCACAGGCTAGGAAAACATGATTTAAAGAATGTGCCTACATTTGGATTGTGCCTCTGGGACTTAGAATTCCATGATCTTTGTCATGTTTTCACCTTTGTCTTGTGTACAGTTTGGAAACTCTGGGGGTCCCCTGGTTAACTTGGTGAGTGTGATATTCTTCTAAGACTCCATACTCCAAGGTCAGTGTGGGAAGGGTGGGTTTTCCTCTACTCAAGGAGGTCTGGTCATTTCTGGTCATTTCAACTTCTAGTATCCAACCAGATCTCCCCAACAATCCCTACTACTCTTGTTTAGGTGTCCCTGTCCCCTACTGTCTGTTTGGGCTAGGGAACAGGGGGCTGTGTCCCTGCAGGATGGGGAGGTGATCGGTGTGAACACTATGAAGGTCACAGCTGGAATCTCCTTTGCCATCCCTTCTGATCGCCTTAGAGAATTTCTACTTCGAGGGGAAAAGAAAAGTGAGCCTGGCCTTGTGTGGGAAAGAGGTTTCTTTAAAATGGTGGATGGGAAAAAAGGGAGGGGTATTTATTGGGACTTTTAGGAGGGAGGGTGGGAAATAGGAGAAGGAAAGACACAGCTAGATGGAGCTCATTTGTCTCCCTTCTACAGACTCCTGGTTTGGAATCAGTGGATCCCAGCGCCGCTACATTGGGGTAATGATGCTGACTCTTACTCCCAGGTATGAATATAAGGCATAGTGATATGTAAGACCACTAGTGTGATCAATGGTTCATAGTTGGCTCCTCTTTTGTCAGGCTTTGCTCTTAGTTATCATTATCTTAGAGAATGAGCTGCCTTCTACTATCACAAGAGCTTCTCTTACCTTGTTACATCTGGTACTCAGTTCTATTCCATTCTGTTACTGCTTTGATTTAAAGCAGTACTAAAGGGTATTTTGTCTCTAAATTAGCCTAAACCTGGATTGTCACTTTTGTAGGAATACTCTGGTTTCCTATTCCCATGTCTTTATCTATACTGATTTTGTTTTATATAGTTAATATCAAAACTATGCTCCTAGGCTGAGCTTAAGTTCTACTTCCATAAAGCTTCTCAGGATTTGAAAATGCTATTAGTGCTATTGACTTAGCACTGTGTATTATCTGGAGTTTGTTATCTCTATGTATCTATCCCACTAACTGCTAGAAGGCAGAAAGTGAGTTCTTTCAGACCTCTGATACCCAGTGTATGTCCTGGTCAAACATTTGTCATTGTGTTGATGAAGTGAACCCAAAATGGGGAGAGCTCCTGAGTGTGGCTAATAGGGTGATCTGTGCCCTTTCAGCATTCTAGCTGAACTACAGCTGCGAGAACCAAGTTTTCCAGATGTTCAGCATGGTGTACTCATTCATAAAGTCATCCTGGGCTCGCCAGCACACAGGTAAAAAGAGACTGCTCTTGAAGTGGGGTGGGGAGGAGTGCACGTGAACAGAGTTGTCCATTTCCTCTTTACTCTTTGCCCATCTCCGTAGGGCTGGTCTACGGCCTGGTGATGTGATCTTGGCTATTGGGGAACACCTGGTACAAAATGCTGAAGATGTGTATGAAGCTGTTCGGACTCAATCCCAGCTGGCAGTGCGGATCCGACGGGGATCAGAAACCCTGACATTATATGTGACCCCTGAGGTCACAGAATGACTGGATTAACAAGCATATGGGGCCCCTGCACTGATTTCCTTCCTGCCTTCCTAGCCTCGGTTCTGAGGGCACCTGGGCAGAGGAGTCAGTGAAACATTGGGGGCAGGTCCCTCCAACTCCAGTACTGACCCTAGGGTCCGAAGAATTGAACACTTTTTATATAAAATAAACTTATATCTAGTAACATGTTATCGTCAAAAGTTGAGGGCAGGAGCTGGATATTTTCCCCCACCAGAAGGCTAGAGGTAAAGCTGTATTCCCCCTGAACGTAGGAGAGCTACAAGGAACTGATCGTCCTGACCTCTCTATTCAAGAAAATGAGCTGCTGCCACTTGTTGCTCGGGCAGTGATTCAGGTACTGATCTTTGTTGTGTGCTCTGCTCGGTGCTGGGCCTGGGTATACATTCCCCATGCTCGGCCACAGATGCTGACAGCTGGCCTGGGAAGGTGGGCGATGAAAAAGTTCCGCATCCATAGTGTTCAGATGATACATGTGAAGGGCCTTCTGACTTCCGGCCTTCTGTGGTAAGCTCCTGAGGTAAAGGCAGCCTCAGACCCCTGCCATTGGGGGGAGGGGGGTAGTGGTGGTTTGCAGAGGAGGGTGGTGGCACTTAGACGATCTGATTACTGGTCTGGCCAGGATAGCGCTCAAACCTCCTGTTGGCCTCTTCACTGAAGGCATCACCTGCAGAGTGGATAGGTAGTATGTGTAGGTGGTACTCTGCACAGAGGTAGGAAGACAGACCCACTGTGGGGAGGGGTGAGTAGAAATGGAGAGGCTGAGATGTAGAGAAGTGGGTGAGAAGGCACAGAAACCACTTAGGGAAAGCATTTCCCTCTCATCCCCCAATCCTTCGGGTTGCCCCATCCCACTAAATACCAATGTGGCAGTTGTGCACCCAGATACGGTGTCCATCATATTTGCAGTTACATTTCATTGCGTTGTTGGTGAAGTCACTCTCTGCTACTTCGAAATTTGGGTTGATGACCACCTGTGAGTGATAAGGACCCCTTGACCCAACTATAATCAAATCCCGAGGTTTCTTTAAACCACTCTCCTCTTCCCCTGTGCAATGGAAGCCCCAGATTCCAGCACCTGGAGAATGTAGTTTCCTGGCTTCACATCTGTGATGTCAATCCATTGGCAGTCAATATCGTGTCTGTAGAGATCCCAGCAACCCACAGTGATGCCTTGCTCTCCAAAGTTGGCACATTCATACCTCTTGGAGACATCTGAAGAGATTGACATGTCAGTGACAGGAAAGGCTGTGCTTTGGAGATGCTGGAATCCACTCTAGGCCCCAACTCACCCTCCTGACATTCAGTGTCTTCTAGACAGAAACTAGCTTTGTGGCCCTCAGCCACCTTGGTGCCATTGGGGGTCAGGATATCATAGTGAGTGAAGATGTCCATACTGTGGTAATGCCTGTGGGAACAAGGACACTCCTGTTTTCCCTCTCCCTATCAGGCTTGCCCCACCTCCTATGGTTCGCCCTTCTACCTGACCCCCTCCATCCTCTTACCCGTGACACTCATGCCACACCCAGGAGTGGCGACCAGCCTTGGGCCTAAAATCAGCCCGTCCCAAGTTGTGGATCTGAGAGGAGAATCGGAGTAGACGCCGGTGGCCATAAGGCCAGTTGGCCGAGCGGGCAGAGCTGGCCAGGCAGTTCTCTTCAGCAGCACAGTACAGCATGTGCAGGGGCCGGTCCTCGATGTAGGCTGTCTCCTGCACCAGGGCAGAGTGCAGCAGCAGATCTGAGGCAGCTGCATTAGAAAGGAAGGAGAGTGGTGGAAATCACTTCTGATGGAAGGGTAAGAGGGAGTGAGCCCATCCCTAGAGTGAGACTGGTTTTCCATGGCGAAGGAATACCCTTCCTTCACAACCCCTGTCTCCCTCCAAAGGGATAACCCAGAGACTTTCTTTGCTGGCTTGCAATCCCCCACCCACCGTTCACTCACTCTCAGAACAGATGACTCCAGCTGTGAAGCGGGTGCCCGTCCTCTTGCAGGTGATGTGACTGCTGTGATGGGTGCACTGGTCCAGGGACAGCTCGGTCCCTGTGCAACGCACTCCACTCATCACCACCTCGGTGATATTCCCTGAGTCCCAGTACCAGGTCTCCTGGAGACATATGCAAATGTTTCTGTGAGACCCCCCACCATCTAGCCTCCTGGGACAAGGGACTAATTTCCCCAGTCCTTTTCCTCAAACAGGCTTTGGAGACAATAGCTTTGGCTTTCCTCTTCTCCTCCCTATTTACCTGCAGGCCGTGATTGGCATAGCCCAGACCAAGTTGCCTACAGGCCACCATGGCCTCCAGTGTTCCCCAGTCATCCCCACAGATGAGACCCCAGCGAAGATGTCCAGGTCCTCCTGTTTGCACCTCAACTCGCCCCTCATATCGGCTGCGGCCCCCACTAAGTCGGATCTGTAGTGATACAAAATAGAAGCACAGATAAGGGGTTTGGGGAGTAAGCGGTTGGGAATCTGTAGCAGGGATGTGGCTGATACAAGTGCTGGTGACAGGTGGGAGCTGTGGGATGGTGGGGTTGGGCAATGAGCTAGGAGCCACCAGGCTGGAGGGTGGAGCCATGACCAGATAGAATGAGAGATAGAGGCTTTACCATGGTGGCAAATAGGACTGACCTTGGTCTCTACCCCAGTGTAGGGTAGGTTGCATCGGACACCAGCATCCTGGTTATGGGAACAGTCCTCAGCTGTAATGTTCTTGTAGGGGCACTTCCAGAGGGAGGGCTCCTGGCCAGAACACCGAACTTCACTCAAGTGGATGGCACCCATGCCTAGGGTCAGAAGTCAAAGCTGGAGAGGTTGTAACTTCATTGGCCAGGGGACCCCTTCCTGAGGAATATAACCCCAGGAGTGTGAACTGTCTACTCATGCCTTCCCATCATCTGCCCACTCACCCTGCCCCATGCGAGCACCAGTCAGAGCCTCTCGAGCGGTGCCAAAGCCCAACTCCCGACACACGACACTGGCTGCCTGGAGGTCCCACTTGCGGTCACAGACTGTACCCCAGGTGCCAGCTTTTAAGACTTCTACCCTGCCCTCACCAGGATGGGCTCCACCCTTTAAACGTACACGGGCCTGTAGAAGAAAGAGAGAGAGGTGCTCAACAGAAGTGAACAGAAACGTCAGCCTCAGATGGCTAAGCAGACCAGGGAGATGAATGCCAGTTTGGTGGGAGGGAATGGTGCTGGCAGGTCTGTAGCCACCCCCTGGAAGATGCCTCTCTGCCCTTAAAGGTCAAGGCTGTGCTTAGCAAGGGGGTGGCCTGGTTTTTGGGTTTTTTTTTTGGTGGTGTGTGTGAGGGGGGGAGGGTGTTCTTCACCTAGGGTAGAAAAGGTCACAGTCACTTTCTTGGGCTGGGCGTGTGAGTGTAGCTCAATGGTAGAACATTTGCCTAGCATATGTGAGGCCCTCACCACAAAACAACAAGAACATTCATAGGCTCACACACCTCTCCCTGAAGCTTCGACTGCGGTTGCTTCTTCTGGCCAGTGGATGCTGTGTAGAGAGGGCCAGGCACGCAGCTCACCACCACAGGGGCTCCCCCAGGGCACCTGGTGGTGTCATTGGCACGATAGAACTCCACGGAACAGAGGGAGAGATGGGCTTCCGTGCCCACGCATGCCACCCCATGCAGACCAAAGAAGTGTTGCTGCCTCTGGGCCAGCAGCCTGGGAGGACAGGAGTAAGGTGTAGTAAGGTAAAACAGTTGTTTTCCCACCTCCCTTCTACAACTTGGGCTTGAACCGCTCAGGGCCTGAGCATCCTCTCTGAGCTTTTTTTTTTGCTCAAGACTAGCACTCTACTACTCGAGCCACAGCTCTACTTCTGACTTTTTGATGGTGAATTCGAAATAAGATTCTTACAACTTTTCCTGCCCAGACTGGCTTTGAACCATGTTTCTCCAATCTCAGCTTCCTGAGTAACTATGATTACAAGAGTGAACCAGTGACACCCAACATCCACAGCCTTTCATGACCTTGTATCCATTCTTCTCCTTCTGTGCTTCCCTGGGAGGGACGAAAGGATTGCTGAGTGTGTAGGCTGAAAGACTCCACAACCCAGATAGGAGGGTCCTTGGGGACCTTATGCAGCAGAACCGCCCTAAGGCAAGGACGGCTGGACCTAACTTGCCTAAAAGAAGCTTGTTCTCAGTGGTTTCATGCTTCAGGTCCTAAAAAACCCAAGACTAAAGCTTCTGTGAAAAACAAATGGGAAGCCAGGACTGCCTAGCTTGAAGAGATGGTCAGGAGGGAGTGGCTGACATAAACAGGAAGCCTGAAAAATCAGTGTGCTAACCCTTTTAGAATAACTAGACTAGTATAACCAAATGAGTCAAGATGTACAGAACGGAGGAAGTCTTAAATCTGAATGGTTTCTCAGAGGCCAAGGGACTTCTAGGCCAGAAACTGACAGTACGATGAGTGCAGCTGGTGGTGACCACAGGAAGGAATTTTTTTTTTTGGGTCCGGTCATGGGCCTAAACTCTGAGCCTGGGCACTGTCCCTCAGCTCTTCAGCTCAAGGCTAGCCCTCTACCACTTGAGCCACAGGAAGGATTTGTACTGGCATATGCAAGAAGGAAGACATCTCAATGTAGCACAGACAAAAGTTGGAGGAGCTACATAGCCAGAAAAGGAAGGTGGATATGAATAAAACAAAATGGCAGAGACAACCTGGGGCCTGAGTCAAGCTGTAGGTGTCTTTAATAAGGGAGTCCCTGCTTCTAGAATTTCAACATAATATTTTCCCACAGCTGTCTGAGCAAGAAAATAGAATTAAACAGAGATGTTAATGTTCGGAAATACTGTAGAGATGCTTGAGAGAAGTAAGGAAAGTGGCTTTTAAAAAAGATACTGACAGAGATTCAGAAAGGTGTGTGGAGGAGAGAGGTGTACCCTCTTCTAGAACACCTGGAAGCAGATGAGGCTGATGTTGGTTGAAAGGGCCTGTGAGGTTGATTTGGTGGTGGATTACTGCAGTAATTTGCCCTTAGTATCAGAGGGAAAAAAGTAACATAAACCATTGGCTAGGAAAATGCAAGAAGGAGGAAGTTTGTAATACAAAACAGGCTAGGGAAGCTTGAAGTCTCTTCAGAATACCTTTGGAAGCTCAGAAGAAATGTATCGTGAAGATAGAAGAGATCAGGTGCTCTT